TCGAACATTTTACTCGCAGTCCCTTTGAACGCACAAAATGTTAGCTAGGGGTGGAGATTTTTTACCCATTCGGTGCTGAGGCGTTGCTGGCGGCCGCGGTTGCGCTCTACGGGTCGCCGGCCGGTGATGAGCTCGACGAGGAGGACGCCGAAGGAGTAGACGTCGCTGCGTTCAGTGAGGTGGTTCGTGTTCAGGTACTCGGGGTCGACGTACCCTACCGTGCCCTTCACCATTGTTGAGATGTGGGTTGCTTCAGTGTCGTACGGGGATAGGCGCGCAAAGCCGAAATCGGACACCTTTGCTCTCAGCTGATCTGTTAGGAGAATGTTGGACGGCTTGATATCACGGTGGATGATTGGGTTGTCTGCATGTGCATAATACGCAAATGAGTATTTGTCAGACATTAGGATGTCGATGTTGTGGATGCAGATACATTATTTAGGATTCAGAAATGAAATGTGTGCAAAATATAAAAAAAATCTGATAAATAAAATTTGAAATTTGTGGTGATTCTTTTAGACATTCAGAGCTTTGCCCATGTATGCGTGACCTTACTTAAGTGTGGATACGAACACATACATGCTCTGTGCAAGGTACATCTATAAGTTTGTTCATAATGTAGCACATGTCCTCCCTTTGAAGGTCCAGGAGACATGCCAAAATAAGACAAAACATGCTTGTGAAAAAAGGTATCGAAAATGGAAACTGTACTCTATGGGATATCAAATATGAGTGGTTTTAGTGTTTTCATACAGAAATACAATAGAGCATAATACCTGTGTATCCATGTAAGTAGGCAACTGCATGAGCTATGTCGATGGCAATGTTGAGACGCTGTGAAAGTTCCAATGGTTGCCCTCTTGATCCTGCATAGTGAAAAAGTTTGTGGTCCCCAAATTCTTTTAATCTAGTACACCCTCTGTTCGTAAATATAAGACATTTTGGCAGTTCAGGTAGTAGAAATTTGTGAGAGAAATAGCATTACATCTACGTCATACATTCAGAGTCCCAAGAAGACTTGAGTAACAAAGTTACAGAAGGAACATTGAGCAGGTATGGTTATAAAAAAATAGAGTACAAACATTTACTTAGCGACTTGCATACGAAAATACCTAGTACTATAATATGTTTGATTCCATCCAGTTCCATGGCCTTACTGGGTCTTCTATCTGTACACATTTTAACAATATTATGGTGACCTCAAGCAAATTTGACCTACCATCCAAGTGTTCACGTAGTGTTCCGTTGCTGATATACTCAACCAGAATCAAGCGCTCATCCTGATGCTCCAGGTGCCCGAGAAACTTCACCAAGTTTAAATGTTCGACCTTCGATAATATCTGGATTTCACTCCTGAACTCTGCAGATAGGTGCCTGTCAAACATATTCTGCCAGTTCCAGATGTTACGTGAAAGGATTTCATTCACTTGGTTGCTGGAAGTAATTGTTCGTAAAGATGTATGATCTTCCTGTGTTAAGAAATTTGTCCACGAACCTTCTTAGCTCGCTTTACGGCTATGATGGATCCATCCCTGAGCTTCGCCTTATACACAGTGCCAAAATTTCCTTTCCCAATTTTGTTTTGTTCACTGAAGTTTGAAGTAGCCAGGCAAACTTCCTGAAATGAGAACTGGTCTGGCCATGACTTGTTTTGACTAGTGCTTGTGCTGCTTACTGATGAAATTCTTGAGACTGCTATAAACCATTGGAAACCTTAAATTTCTTATTTGTAATTAATCAAACTCGGTTTACTTGATCAATGGAATAGCTAATATTTGAAATACATGTATGCACACTGATGAACATGCAAGCTGGATATCTTGAATAACAGAATAACGATTGGGAGAAATATATGGATGGTTTGAATTGAACTACAATGCTAACTTGGAGGGTTTCGAATTAACATAAGCTAACGTGCCCAAGATTAATGGAAACAGGACAGAGAAGGTGGCAAATTGGGATTCTCTAAAAGCTTCTAACGAGCTGGTTTGGTGATAGACGAAACATCATGCCGTTATTATATGATATTTAACCCAGAAGTTATGGCCTTTGATCAGAGCTGACTCATTGTTGTTGTACGCTGCAATTTTACAATTTTGCGTGGTTAAATTTTGAAGGCCTTCCGCATGTCATTTGACTAGGTGCCAAGTTAACATACATGCCTTTTTTCTTTTGAGCCAGCTCAAATTTGCAGAGGCATATGCAGTTGCAGGATAACATGCACATGATGGAGGAATGAAGAAAGAAAGCCGAACTTACTGGAACTAGTGGACACATCATGAGCATCCAGGGCCGGTCCTAAGATTTCGGGGGCCCGGGGCGAGATTAAACCTTGTGGCCCTTATTTTACACAAACATAAATAATTATTGCAAAAAGTATGTTGAATCATTAGTCAAAGAAAATACAATTTTCTCTTATAAGTATTTTCTTTACTAATATGTCCCGTAGCTTTATTATTAAGTTTATCCTAATTTCTTTCATCATAATCAGCTATGGTAAAATCGGGTACCTTGTCAAGTCTAACCGATGATTTCAATGCACATGATCACTCATATGTCATCCATTTAGATGTCAGCATTGTATTATGTATAACCCCTACCTTATGGATTAGTATTAGTTTATTCGTCCATAGCAATTACCGGCAAGTCGCCAACAGAAATTTGATAACGCCAATAATATCTATCCATTACCAACACTCATAAATCGATTATTAGTGCCCAGTTGCAAAGAACGCAGAGGCCATGTTGATGATCAATTACAAATATTAATCAACCATGATGGTAAATTTTCATAGTCCATATAAACAACCTACACAAATAGAGATTATAGAGAACTCAAAAGAAAGATTAGAGACATACCTTCTCTTCTACTCCTATGTAATTGTAATGCCTCCCGGCGAGTCGGTGTGGTCTCATGGGAGGCAGCGACTGCATATCTCCGGCAGTCCAGCCCTCCTCCGACTCGAGGCGGCACCGCGCATCAAGCACGGCGATCTTTGATTAATTCTCACCCGTGTGTAGCATAGTCACCGTCTCCTGTTTTTCTCACCAATTGGAAGTATACTGTTTGGCTTGTGGATTATAAGGAAGTAAATTAGGAGCGAATTTTTTCATCACTACGTCTAATTAATCGCATGCAATAACTTCCCTTTTGATCAATCGCAAGGGCCCTCAATAGTAGCACGGAGGAAGGAAAGCCGAGAAATCAGGGAAAACGTTGTAGGACTCCGATTTTCTTGAGTTGGAGTATATGGAAATAAATCCGGATTCTGGGCCACGGCGCTAGGCTAATTAACAACAGAATTGGGGGCCCCTTGGCACCTGGGGGCCCGGGGCGGCCGCCCCGGTCGCCCCCCCTCAGGGCCGGGCCTGTGAGCATCTTCGGGGAGCGAAGCAGCTTGTGCAAGCTCGGGCAATCATCGTAGCAGCTTCTTCCCAGAATGATCCTCTGCTCCTGGCCTTCTTCTCGGCCACCCCGGAACGAACTGTATACGTGGATGCCCTGGAGAAGACAGGATCTTTCTGAAACTCATGGTTGGAGGCAGAGAGGTCTCCTCCATGGCCCGTGCCGAGTGCTCGATGGCGTGCTGCCCGCATAACTTTCTTTTTTGGGGATCAAACTGCCTGCATAACCGACGGGGTTAGAAGATTGCGTTGAAACCTGCTCTCACAGAAGCAGGTAGCAGTTCATCTGGTTCTTTCCTTCAACTTTGTTGGACATAACGCAATGGACTGGTTCAAGCTTGACCTGGTGGTGGTGGGTACCTCTAAATAACTATGAAAGGAATGCTCCTTTGGGCCTAAGGTCAAACCAGTGGAGCCCGGATGTCGTCTATGATAACAACAGTTCACAGACCAGGAATTTAATATGGGTGAAGGATTCAGATATTGACCCTTCAGACTCTTGGCAATACAGAAGTGTGCCGTCCTCTGCTCTGGAGTTCTAACCCTAGCGAAGGAAGCATTACATTCTCTGCTGCCACAGGAAAGTTTGAGTTGATCATCTGGACGGTTCAGCCCCTTGATGGATGACTTGGCGCCACGATGTTGGACGCCACCCCAGCAGTTGATTATCAGGTTTGGTGTTTGTTCTTTCAGCAAGAATCAGTATGACCAACATGTACACGTTCGTCCATGATTGCACAGCAGCTGTTTTTTTTTTCCTTTATTCAGGGCATTTTGACACCCTAAGCCCTGCCTGTTTGGCATCAGCGGGGAGCTCCAAGTGGCGTTTTACAACTCAATGCCCCCTCTGTTTCACAGCACATCAGTATATGAGGGGACTTTGTATGCTGATAGTTACAACCATTCAACATTTTTCGCACATCAAACATTATTTATGAACAGTAAGAAATTGCAATAACTATAGTTCTCCTTCGGTCAATACAAATTTCACGAAACAACGACCCAAGCTAAAGTGAACAAACATTGTGAAGCCGACAGAGAATTCTGGATCTTTACAGTAGCCTCGCATTATGAGTTTAAATGATCTCCACGACTTATATTGCTGTCTTTACACCCTCAACAGGTTCCCCACTTTGTTTGTGAGTTCCTGGTCTCACCTTTTCACTAATCATGCAGTGCATCTGCTAGCCTCACCAAACTATGCTAGATCAAGCCATTCAACCATACTGGCCATTATTTTCAATCTCTACCACTGCCATTGCCAGTTTGCCACCCCTAAAGTACAGCTCCTACACCGCCATTTATTCTCTGGCATGCTTCAGGTATCCTTGACTCCTGAAATTCACATTTCGGATGAAATTCACATTTCGGACTTGCGCATCAGAAAGATTCACATGATCTAAACCTCTGAAACTCTGCTTCCACAATAAGACAATTCACCGCATATTTCCACTACATTGAACCACACGATGTTGTAGTACAGATGTGTAATGCTCATCTCTCGGTTCATGGACATTTTCGGTACTATCCCAGATGATGATGCCACAATACTCCCAGTGAAGTCAAATCGTTTACTGTATATTTCGTCTTTGGCGCTAGCTAGTGCCATCAAAATCAACACGCTCTCCAGTAGCAAAGATATCCCAGAACAGGGCACTGCTGAAATATAGAAGTGATGTTAATGTTAAAAATCCACGGAAAGAACCCATCCGATCAACAAAGAATCCTGCTCCAATAGTTCCTAAAATGGCAGCAAATGTTCCGGACGTATTTGCCATTCCTGTTAGCACACAAACATAGATTAAATATAGTAATGCATATGCACAAAATCTATAACTAAAACACAGGGAGCACAACTTATTTAGTACCATGTAGCACTCCAGCATATTGTGGGGCGATCTCCTGGTAAGAATTTAAAAATAAATTCCATCAGATGGGAAAGA